CTTTAAATGAGGAGAAAAGGCCAGTAAAAATTAACTGCAGTCAACAACATAGGAGTGATTATACAAAACTCAAATGGATGACCTTTCGACAATCATCACTCTGCTAAATTTCCTTTTCTACCTTTATGAAATAAAAACATAAGAGTCATTAAGGTAAAAGTTGGGAGAGGAAACAGAAAGTTAAAAGAAAATGCTTAAGAGTCAGAGATAACTTTGATAAAGATAAGTTATCTCTATTTCATAGTCTAAGCCAACACTTGTCCAATAAGTCAATATAGAGCTAATTAAATGAACAATTAAATGTCTTAGTCATTCTAGCTAATGGCTGCTGTGTTGGGTGGTGTGGATCTAGAACATTTCTGTCATCTTAGAAAGTTCTGTTAGGGCTGTTTTGGATTTTAATGTTGCTTAGCAATTCTGTTTCTAATTGACATTCTAAAATGTTTTCACACAAGATAGAAACATCATGCACATAAAGTTTGAGGTTCTTACCAAAAATTTCTGCTTAGTATGGGATCTTTTATAGCTTTGATATATAATTTACATACCGTAAAATTCCATTTAAAATGTACAGTTGAGGCCGGGCACGGTAGCTCACACCTGTAATCCCAGCACTTTGGGAGGCTGAGGCAGGTGGATCGCCTCTGGTCAGGAGCTTGAGACCAGCCTGGCCAACATGGCGAAACCCTGTCTCTACTAAAAATACAAAAATTAGCTGGGCATGGTGGCAGGCGCCTATAATCCCAGCTACTCGCAAGGCTGAGGCAGGGCGAATTGCTTGAGCCCGGGAGGTGGAGGTTGCAGTGAGCCGAGATGACACCACTGCATTCCAGCCTGGGCGACAGAGCGAGACTGTCTCAAAAAAATAATAATAATTTAAAAAGTACAACTCAGTGGTTTTTCGTATATTCAGAGCTGTGTAACTATCATGACAATCAAATTTAGACCCGTTGCATCACCCTAAAACGAAACCCCTCACCCACTTCACCCACTAGCAACACTCTTCGTATTTCTACCTCACCTTGGTGCCTCCTCCCCATCCTCAGTCTACACTGTGTCTATATAGATTATACATAAATGAGGTCATATATGATCTTTTTGTGTCTAGCATCTTTCACTTAGCATAACTTTTTCTATATTGTAGCTTTTACTAGTAAGTCATTTCTTTTTATGGCCAAATAATATTCTACTGTATAGATCATATTATTTTTACCAGTGGATGGACATTTGGGTTTCCACTTTTGGCATTGAATAATGCCAAAGGTAAATAATGGCTTTGAATCACGCTATATTGTCTATTTTTTTTATTATTATTATAGCCAGCCTAGTGGTTGTGAAGTGGTATTTCCTGCAGATTTGATTTGCATTTCCCTGATAGCTGATGATCTTGAATGTTTCATGTGTTACTAGCCATTTGTATACCTTTTTTTCAGAAATGTCTATTTGGATCCTTGCTTCATTTTCCATAAGTTGGTTTGTCTTTGTATTATTGAGTTGTAGAAGTTCTATACATATTATAGATCTCATCAGATAAATTATCTTCAAAAATTTCTTCCCTCAGAACAGGGATCTCTGAGGAATAGAATAATAAAAAGTGTAAAAAAATGTGTTGCCATTCTGTGGATTGTTTTTCAGTGATGTCCTTTGCAGCACAAAATGTTTAAATTTTGATTTTGATTTATTTCAGCCTACACTCAGCCCTCTATTCAGCCAACCAAAGATAGAAAATATTCAGGAAAAAATAAAAATAGAAAATAGAGCAATATGTAGTACAAATAAAGAACAATACAGTATAACAACTATTTACATAGCACTTACATTGTATTAGGTATTACAGTATATTAATGATTTTAAAGTATATGGGAGGGTGTGCATAGGTCACAAACACTATACCGTTGTATATAAAGGATTTGAACATCTGCAGATTTTGGTGTCCATTGTGGGTCCTAGAAATCAGTCCCCCCTCAGATACTGAAGAACAACTGCATTTCTTTTTTTGTTGTTAATTCTTGTGCTTTTAATGTCATCTCCAAGAAACCATTGTCTAATCCAAGGTCATGAAGATTTACTGTGTTTTCTTCTGAGAGGTTAATAGTTTAGCTCTTAACACTTAAGCTTTTGATCAGTTTGAGTCAGTTTTTATATGGTATGAGGTAGGGGTCCACCTTTATTCTTTTGTACATGGACATACAGTTGTTCCAACACCTTTTTTTAAAAAAATAGTATAGAATCTTTGGTATTAAGATTGACTTCATGTTAACTAGAAATTTTTGTGATAATCTGTTAGTAAAGCAAAACCCTCTTACTGCAAAACATCACAATTTTTTCAGGGTATTGGTTAATTTTGTTTAAAAATTTAAGTGATATTTTGATAACAGAATAAATTATCTTGTAGGTTTCAATAGTCATAACAATAGAAAACCATCTGGTTTTATGGTTAAATGATCTTTTTGCTTTTTTTAGGTGTGTAGTATGCATGTGTGATTTTGAGTCAAGGCAGCTACTTAGAGTCTTACCCTGTAACCACGAGTTCCATGCCAAGTGTGTTGACAAATGGCTTAAGGTAAAGTGATAACATCTTTAAAGGAAATGACATTGAATTTTTCTATTTTATTGACCATAGGTTAATTAGAGTAAGTTCGTAACTCAGTGGACAGGAAGACAAAATGGAAACACAGCTTTGAGTATGATCTCTTTAAATGAGGAGAAAAGGCCAGTAAAAATTAACTGCAGTCAACAACATAGGAGTGATTATACAAAACTCAAATGGATGACCTTTCGACAATCAGTATGTCCTTTCTCATGGCATACAGGGACAAAGCCCGAACTTGCTAGGCCACAGTTTGCTTCGAGAATTTAGAAGGCTACCTAATTATAGCTCTGTTGTCAGAGGTTTGCATGGAGAATAGTACATCTAGTGTTTTTATTTAATTCTGACCATTTTCTCCTTTGTATATATGAACAAAAGCACAAAGGACACAAATCCATAAGAGTGGCTATGCCAGGGTGAAATTATTGCAGGGGCTTCTTTTTTATATATATATTTTTTGAAACAGGGTCTCGATGTGTCGCCCAGTCTGGAGTGCAGTGGTACAGTCATGGCTCAATGTAGCCTCGACGTCCCAGGCTCAAGCGAGACGGGGTGTCACTATGTTGCCCAGACTGGTCTTGAACTCTTGGGCACAAGCAGTCCTCCCACCTCAGCCTCCCAAAGTATTGGGATTATACACTGCACCTGACTATTTAATGTTTAAAAAAAAAAAGTTTACAAAATCTGCTTTTTTACTCTTAATAGTTTCATAGTCTCAAATTGTAACAGTAGAATGAAAACGTGATACAGTAAAAGAACTTTAATAGGCTGGGTTGCAGTGGCTCCATGACTATAAAAAAAATTTATATAGTCAAATTTGTTATTTTTTAAATGAAGTGTTCTGATTTGGATAAAACTAGGTAACCTCACAATTTGGAGAGGAAGATAGAGTTAAAAGTCAGTTCTGAGGGAGCACAGTTCCATAGTATCTAACTTAGCCCAAACTCAATCCTGAAGACAAAGAGTCTTAAAGTATTTTAAAAGGAAAGCATTATATGTGCAAATCCTGACATGTGCAAACAGAGAACAATCAAAACCACAAGTTCCATGTGGCTGATAGTTGGAATGTGAGGAAGAGTGGGAAAAGAAAAGGTGTTCAGAGAGAAAATCAATGACCAGCTTGTTGTGAAGCCACTCTGAAGGGTGAAGGAGTTCGGATGTAATCCTGAAAGCATTTGGGAAGGATATAACAGACTATTTTAGAAGGATTTCTGGCCACTGTTGGAGGATAGAGTAGAAGAGGTAATTTCTGAGAGACAGGGAGATAGAATAAAGACGTGGTGGGCCAGAGAATGGATAGTGGCAACTGGATGAAAAGAGGGACTGATTTGAGCATTACCATAATGCAGAATAAGATTATGTGCTGAATGGGTTGCAGGAAGTAGGAGAACAGGTGATGCTTATGTTTCTGGCATTAGCAACCCCACAGATTATGGTCCCATTTGTTGAAATGGAGAAAGCAAATTTAGGAGCCAGGGAACCAGGTGAGTAAGTAGAGCTATGGTATAGATCCAGTCACCTATTTTACAGTCAGGCTTTCCTCAGTACCGCTAAATGTTTTCTGTGACTTCATTCCATTAAGAATAGCCAAGGGGCCAGGAATGGTGGCTCAGGCATGTAATCCCAGCATTTTGGGAGGCAAAAGCAGGAGGATCGTTTGAGGCCTGGAGTTGGAGACCAGCCTGGGCAACTTAGTGAAACCCTTGTCTTTTAAATTGGCTGGGTGTGGTGGCACACACCTGTTAATCCTAGGTTCTCAGGAAGCTGAGGCAGGAGGATCACTTAGGCCCAGGAGTTCAAGTCTGTAATGAGCTGTAATCATGCCATTGTGCTCCTGTGGACAACAGGGTTTAACCCTGTCTCAAAAAAGGAAAAAAAAAAAAAAAAAGACTAACCAAGGTGTTTTAATGTCAGTTGTTAACTTGGTCCAAACTGGTGAATGTAATCTTGTTTGTATATTTTAACAGACCTACTAAAAATCATTCATGGCGGCCAGGTGTGGTGGCTCACACCTGTAATCCCAGCACTTTGGGAGGCCGAGGTGGGTGGATCACCCGAGGGTCAGGAGTTTGAGACCAGCCTGACCAACATGGTGAAACCCCGTCTCTACTAAAATACAAAAATTAGCCCGGCATAGTGGTGGGCACTGTAATCTCAGCTCCTCGGGAGGCTGAGGCAGGAGAATCGCTTGAACCCAGGAGGCGATGGTTGCAGTCAGCCAAGATCATGCCATTGCACTCCAGCCTGGGCAGCAAGAGCGAAACTCCATCTCAAAAAAAAAAATTCATGGGCTAATTCGGAGGTTTGTGGGTTAAAAAAAGACACAAATTGCTTTGTACCTCTTCAGAGGAACAAAGAATGTAAAAACTGTGGGAAGTAAAAGTAGTTCCATTGCTTTTAATGTGTTTCATTGTATATGTCACAATTTAAACAAGTTTTCCCTTTTGTTTTGTAGGCAAATCGTACTTGCCCAATTTGCCGAGCTGATGCTTCAGAAGTGCATCGGGATTCAGAATGACCAACCTAAGAAGCACAAATTTAGTTTGGGTGTTCCTCATCACATGTATATACGGACTATCCATTGAACTTAATCTGTGTGGCTTCCAGCCCTCCCTTTACCAAAAGGGTCAATGGACCTTTCTTTGCACTGTGTGACTTAATCAACTATAAAAGCTTACAATTAGTCTTCACAGTTATGGGATTGTTATACTAACCGTGTGATTGGAACTCCAAAGACTTCTTCTTTAGCTTAATTTTGTGTGTGCACTAACATTCCCTGGTTTTTGTGTGATCATTCCGAGTGTTGCTGCAAGATTACAGTGGACGTGATCTTTTAGCATGTGCTTTTATAAAAAGTGGTAGCTACAGATGATATAGCAATCTACCTTATATAGAGCCTTCAGAAACTGTGAGTGGAAATGAATGCAGCGTATGACTGTTGGTGATAAGTGTATCTGTGTGAGAGTGTGCACAACTACTTGTGAGAGGGCATGGTAGCTAACGTGTGTATGAGATCCTATATACCAGCATGTACCAAGAATGTGTGTGTAGTTTTAATTATGCTGCAATGTATAATCTGGTGTGTTATTTAAACAGCACTAGTACTGTACACTGGTTTTTTTCCCCTTGTGTTTGCTGTTGCACACTGATTGCTGAGGGTGCATCAATTACAAGCATTGAATACTCCATCCCCTTCCCTCCCAATGAATGGAATGAGAAAAGCCTTCTTCCTTTGCTTCAGGCAGCTGTCACCTTCTCTTTATTGGTGGTCCTAAGTAGGTCACTTAAGGAAAAAAAAAAGTGTAACAAAATTCTCACTCCATGAACCTAATTTTTTTGATTCTGTTGTGGAAATTTTAAAATCTCCAACTTGCTGTTTCCAAAAAGAAGGTGCAATATCATACATTATCAGTTAGCAATATTAGCATTTCAATCAATCAATGATTTGAATGTTGATACTTTTTTTCCTTTACATTTCCAGTTTCTTACAGAAAGTACCTGTGATTTTTTTTTAATGTTTAGATTTGTAGTCTATTCTGAAGATATTTGATTAATATATTTCTAAGAAGACCACTAGTTCCATGAAGTCTCACCTCGTTGACTTCCACCAGAACAAAATCTGTTAATTCAGCTTGACTTCTGATATGTATTCTGTGTTCAAGCTCCTGTGGGCAACTAAATTGTTTTAAGAAAGCTATATTTCTGTCCATATTAATTCACTTGCCAGACTCCAGTTCTGAAAGTTGTCTAGTTCTTCCTTCATCACATGTGCTTCTCATCGAAACCCCTGTTTCAGGATGGATCAAGTGCTGTTACAGCTCATGTTCCTTAGACCTGATTTGTTTTGATGTTTTATCGCTTTTCCTTTTAATATTTGTTTGAATGAGAAAAGTTTAATACAACAGGTGTCCAGAATACTTGCAGTATAAATGAAGATTTGATTTTTGTATAAAAAATAATGCTGTTAAACAGGAATTGACCTTCATTTAGTTGATCTAACACATAGCTGTGTGGGGTTTTTTTTAGTAGGTTCTTTGAGCATAATTCAGATTGTTTAAAGTCATTTTTCCAGCAGTGTTTAAATTACTTTCTCATTCTTTTAGTGTCTTCAACATTGTCTGCCTCTTCCTGCAGTTGATGTAATTGCTTTGTTTGCAATAGCACAAGCTGCATTATTCCAGTCAGGACTGTGATAACTTGCTGCCAGCCCCACTCAACTTTCAGTTGGTTCTGTGTCAGTTTTCCACTCAGTGTTAACTACTTGTTACTGCCATGCTGCTTGCCCTCCCTTGAAGTGTCTATAAGCTCATCACAGCCTAAAGTTAAGTAAAGTCAATTCACAGAAGCACAATTTTGCCCTTTTTGAGACACTGTTGCCTCTATCTAGTCGTACACGTAGGGTTTTGCACACTCTGTTTGCCCTTAGGTTGTCAGTGCATCAGAAATACATCTAAACAGTGGTAAAAATGCACATGTTACTTTTAAGTCATTAGGATATCCCTCACCTGTTCCTGATGAATAAAAAGTGTGTTAAAGACCAAAATTCTTGGCATAATAATCAGCTACATACAAATCACGTATAGTTTAATCTTTTTTTAAAGAAAAAAAAATCATGTTTAAAATGGCAAAAGCCCATCTTATACACTTTTATATAGCTGCAAAAAATTTATATCTGTACAGATCTAACATAACACTACTACACTCAGTATTCATTTTATTGAAGCATGCAAGTAAAGCACTTTTTCTAATTTATATAGAGATACCTAATTAACACGGCACATTGTACTAATGACTAGGAGTAGCAGCTTTTTCTTCCCTCCCTCTATGAATTCTTATAATGTCCCTTTTTCTGTAAATTTTTGAGAGGCAGTTGGCAATTTCGGAGGCAGCAGGGTCTGTTTTGGTAAAGTCTTGAATTTCGTTGTTGCACTCTTGTGACTGATCTCTCTGTGGGAATGTCTTTTCTTTGCATGGGGCTCATTAGAGATGTGTGCAGACTTGCTTATTGTGGTTAGTGTGTATCAGGAATACACACACACACACACACACACACACACACGTATTCTGACCAGCTCAGGCTTGCCACAGTGAGCAGCTTTGTGGCTAGCAAAAGAGAACAGTTTATTTGTGCCCAGCCATTGTCACCTTGGGTGATGCACCAGATAGCAGGCAGATGTTGGTTCATGGCCTTCGTCCTCTTTCCTCCTAAAATAATATTGGCTTTACCATCTTAACTCAGCTGTGGGTTTTTTGTGGGTTCTTGCTTGTTTTTTGGCATGAATTGTCATCTTTGGTGTTTTTTTTTTTTTAACCCCCACCCCTCAAAAAAGTAAGGCCTCCAGGTATCAAGATCTCATATTAGGATTTTCTGTCCTTAACTTTTTGAGCAAAATCTGGAAAATGTGAAAGCATATTTAGATTTTATATACTATCTGAAATGTGATTTGTTAAGATTCTTAAATTTGGGCCTCTTAGAATAATTTTGAATGAGATCTACTGACTCACTTGTGAGAATATTTTTCGCAGATATCTTTCGGCCTTTTCATTAGAAAGCTGTTTGTCCCCCTGTTGGTACATTTGGTTACCTCATTTTGCCGTTTGTTTCCGATTGTGAAAGCTCACAGGGGTGTTTTTCGGAATCATTTGCTGAGTCATTTTCTCAAATCATATTCCATTGTATCAGTTAACATATAGTTTTAAATGTATGTATTATAAATATCTGTAACCAAATCATTTGAAGGCTTGATAAATTTTTAACAAAGTTTGTACATTTTTTATGAAAGTTACTAGTAATGCTTTACTAAGTAGTGCAATGAATTTTTATTTTTAATCCCTGTGCCCAATTTTGGAGTTGAGAGGGTTGTTGGTAATAAATGTATGATGTACACTTAAAACATTTGTTGTTTCATGTCACTGTGTTAGGGATGGGGAAGGGTTGTATATGCATGGGGATGGAGAGATAGCAGCAGGAAGATAGAGCTAGGTTGAATTACTGGCTGCCAGATTCTGTATTTCTGCGTTTGTGTAAACAACTTAGAAATGCAAAAGTAACTAGCATTGTAACATATGGTACATATTTATAAAGGCCAAGAAGATAGCAGAAAGAGTACAGCCAAATATGTGGTGTATGCATTTGAACAGTAGAGATATATAAGCAACATAGTGAGACCCCTATCTCTACAAAAATGTTTGTTTTAAAAATTAGCTGGGCCTCGTGGCACACACTTACAGTCCTAGCTACTTAGAAGTCTGAGGTTGGAGGATCACTTGAGCCCAGGAATTTGAGGTTACGGTGAGCTATATTTGTGCCACTGCACTCCAGCCTGGGCAGTAGCGAGAAGACCCTGTCTCTAAAGGGAGGGGAAAAAAAAAAGCTGGGTACGGTGGTTCACACCTGTAATCCTGGCACTTTGGGAGGCCAAGTTGGGCAGATCACGAGGTCAGGAGTTCAAGACCAGCCTGGCCAACCTGGTGAAACCCTGTCTCTACTAAAAATACAAAAATTAGCCAGGCCTGGTGGCACATGTCTGTAATACCAGCTATTCGGGAGGCTGAGGCAGGAAAATCGCTTGAACCCAGAAGGCGTAGGTTGCAATGAGCCGAGATCGTGCCACTGCACTCCAGCCTGGGTGACAGCAAGACTCCATCTTGGGGGGCGGGGGGAGATGTAGGTAACTAGAATTCAACTAGTTCTTTCTATATATGTTAACCATAAGAGGCGGGAAAGAAGACTGCAATAGACAACTAGTCAGATTCGTCCACATTAGCTACAGTTTATGTACAACTTCCTGTCAACATAATATATGGAAAGAGAAGCCTCTGCTTGTCATTTTCCATATATGTTTGTATAGTTTTCCTTTGACTAAAAAAGGAAGAAAATAAAAACAATATACTTACGCATATGCTATGTTAAGATTTTACCCTCTTGACTGGCTCCAGTACTCATCTGACAGAAGTGACCACATCCTGATTTTTTTCCCCTCCTTTTTCCAACATATGTAGAAGAGTACTTATGTTTAACTTTGAATGTTTCAAGAAACCCAAAACTTACGCCATGTCTTATGACAGAGGCATTTACTGCTAAGTACCCATGACTACCCAAGTCACCCTACTTAAATAAGTCATGGAGGGGCATGGTTCTCACCAAGGGCCTGTAAGCATAGGCTATGTGGCCTTTCCATGCAGAAGCATACATAAAAGCCAGCTTTCTTCCTCTGCTTGGGTAGTCGCATCCTGTGTCACTCCCTAGAAAAGAGTTGTGGTTTTTGTTTTGTTTTTTTTTCCCTGCTCTTTCCTCCAGGCTGGAGTACAGTGATGTGATCTCGGCTCACAGCAACCTCCGTCTCCCGGGTTCAAGTGATTCTCCTGCTTCCGCCTTCCAAGTAGCTGGGACTAAAGATGTGTGCCATGACACTCAGCTAATTTTTGCATTTTTAGTAGAGACAGGGTTTATGCCATGTTGGCCAGGCTGGTCTCAACTACTGACCTCATCACCCGCCTCAGGCTCCCAAAGTGCTGGGATTACAGGCATGAGCCACCATGCCCAGCCGAGAGGATAAGATTCTTATGAATGGGAGGATCACAGCACAGCTAAGTGTTTCAGCTCTCTTGTACACTTCAATGAACTGGATGAACAAGGCCGTTCAATAAAGTGTAATTAGCCACATTAGAAAGAAAACTTGAAATTATTTTTAATATTCAGTCAAATATACCAAAATATTTCTACTGTAATATTAAGATCCTTTACATTTTCTCCTACCAAGTCTTTGAAATCCAGTGTGTATGTTACATTGACAGCGTATCTCAATTTGGACGAGCCACATTTCAAATACTCAGTAGCCACATCTGCATAGTGGCCACCAAGTTAGATGGCATAGGTCTAGACCAGAACTATGCAAAGCTACCTGGTTTCTAAAGAACTGAACGTTACTCGTGATAATCCCAAGATGATTTGCTATTATTGCATGCCTTAACAAACTATAGTATGATTTTAAAACATTCTATATATAGTTGAATGTAACTTTTGTTGCTATAATACATTAGAAAATACTCATTTTTAAAGCAGTCTGAATTTCTCTGAAGCTGCCATAGATAATATTCAAGAACAAAGCTCCTTGTTTGTCAGTAAATTTTCAGATATATTTGCTTGAATTCACAGCTATTTAAATTGGGTCAGGCACAGTGGCTCCCACCTATAATCCCAGCACTTTGGAGGCCAAGGTGGGTGGATCACTTGAGGTCAGGAGTTCAAGACCAGCCTAGCCAACATGGTGAAACCGCATCTCTACTAAAAATACAAAAAAAAAAAGGGTCGGGCATGGTGGCTCACACCTGTAATCCCAACACTTTGCGAGGCTGAGGCAGGCAGATCATGAGGTCAAGAGATGGAGACCATCCTAGCCAACATGGTGAAACCCCGTCTCTACTAAAAATACAAAAATTTGCTGGGTGTGGTGGCACATGTCTGTAGTCCCAGCTACTCTGGAGGCTGAGGCAAGAGAATCGCTTGAACCCAGGAGGCAGAGGTTGCAGTGAGCTGAGATCGCACCCCTGGACTTCAGCCTGGCAACCCACTGAGACTCCGTCTCAAAAAAAGAAAAGCTGGGCGAGGTAGCAGATGCCTACTGTAATCCCAGCTACTTGGGAGGCTGAGGCAGGAGAATCACTTGAACCTGGGAGGCAGAGGTTGCAGTGAGCCAAGATTATGTCACTGCACTCCAGTCTGGGCAACAGAGTGAGACTGTGTCTCAAAAAAATTTTTTCTAAATAATTTGATCCTCATAAAATTCAGCATTCTGAAGAATTGGGGGTAGGAAACTTGAGCCTCACTTTGAGATGGAGTGGATTCCTCTTGAGATTCTCTACAGCACACATACTCTTGACCTTTTCATGTATCTCTGTCTCCTAATTTGGCAGGAAATACAGGAAAAGAAACAAGGAAAAGGCCAGGCGCGGTGGCTCAAGCCTGTAATCCCAGCACTTTGGGAGGCCGAGACGGGCAGATCACAAGGTCAGGAGATCGAGACCATCCTGGCTAACACGGTGAAACCCCGTCTCTACTAAAAAATGCAAAAAACTAGCCAGGCGAGGTGGCGGGCGCCTGTAGTCCCAGCTACTCGGGAGGCTGAGGCAGGAGAATGGCATGAACCTGGGAGGCGGAGCTTGCAGTGAGCTGAGATCCCGCCACTGCACTCCAGCCTGGGCGGCAGAGCGAGACTCCGTTTCAAAAAAAAAGAAAAGAAAAAGAAGGACAAAACATCAACATAGTGACAGCCAGGAATATTATGTTACCTTATCATCTGAAAATATGTGGTAGAATTAGTTTGGATATTTCCCCACTATAGAAAAGAAGTGAATTGTTCAGGAAGAAGAAATTCACCTCCCCTTCAAACGTCTAGTTCTTGGTCTACACATGGGAACAATGCATGGTGACTTGTTAATAACCAGTGAGCCACACCTAGCAGTCTGCCAGGACCCAGTAGTCTGGCTAAATCAGGTGGTTATTGCATATCTTCTGGTGAAGAGTTCTCCAGTTGGGTATGGTCGCTCACACCTGTAATCTCACTTTGAGAGGCTGCATCTGGCTGATGGCTTGAGCTCAGGAGTTGAGACCAGGCTGGTCAACATGGTGAAACCTCATCTCTACAAAAAAATACAACAACAAAAAACAAGGCCGCACGTGGTGGTGCACACCTGTAGTCCCAGCTACTAGGGAGACTGAAGCAGGAGGATTGCCTGAGCCCAGGAGGTAGAGGCTGCAGTGAACTCTGATCATGCCACTGCACTCCAGCCTGGATGACAGAGTGAGGCCCTGTCTTTAAAAAAAAAAAAAAAAAAAAGACCCTCCAAATGTGTGCTGACGTGGATTTCTGATAGTTCAAACTTAATCCTAGTATGATAGACATTTCTGTAGTCAGTGTAAGCAGTATTGTATCCAGACATCCTAATTGGCTCTTTTTCTCCTTTTCTGCTTTTGGACGTTAGTACTAAACTTTAGCTGAATCAGAGGAAAATAACGACTCATCTACCAAAATAAGGCCGGTCCCCTTGCCAATAAAAAATGTGTCACTGTCCATGGTGATTCATGCTTAGAATGCCCCATCCTTGATGCCATTAAAGAGGAAAATAGGTCACATTTACTCTAATTCCAGAAGATCTACAGGAAACTGAGACCATCTCTCTGATCGAAGCTACAAATTTTAGTTAGGGAAACAAATCAGGAAAAAGAACGCACGTTGAGTTATTGTTCAACACACACACACAGAGGTCCAGGTCCTTGCTAAGGAATATTCACAACCTAACTCGGCTCCATGAGCTTTTATTGAGCACCAGCTTATGCCAGGCAGCTTTGAAATCAGGTCTTTAGTGTATTCATTTCTTAGTGCTGCCATAACAAGTTACCACAAATGTGATGGCTTAAAGCAAAGTTACTCTCTCATGGTTGAGGCTACAAGTTAGAAGTCAAGATGTTGGCAGAGTCGGTTTTCTGTGGCGGCTCTGGGGGAGAATTTGTTCCATGCCTCTCTCCTAGCTTCTGATGGCTGCTAGCAACCCTCGGCATATCTTGGCTTGTAGACATAACTCCAATCTCTGCCTCTGTCTTTACATGGCCACCTCCCACGTGTCTATCTTCTTCAGCTGGGTGGAAGGTCCCATGCCTCTGCACAGATGTCAGCAATGAGATCGGCTGTAGGGATACTTGTAAGAAAAGCCCAATCCAGGCTGGGTGTGGTGGCTCATCCCTGTAATCCCAGCATTTTGGGAGGCTGAGGCAGGCAGATCACCTGAGGTTGGGAGTTCGAGACCAGCCTGACCAACATGGAGAAATCTCATCTACTAAAAATACAAAATTAGCCAGGCGTGGTGGCACATGCCTGTAATCCCAGCTACTCGGGA